TTGTTGTTGCTGCTGCTGCTGAGTTTGTGGTACGGGCGAGGTAATACGTTTGCCAGGCGGCGCAATGGGCGTAACTGCGCGTGGCTTGGCATTAGTGTTGCTAGCACTAGTGTTGTTGTTGTTGCTGCCGATATTGTTACTGTTATTGTTACTATTGGTATTGTTATTGTTGTTGCTGCTGTTGTTTGCGCTGGCAGCAGCGGCCGCTGCTGCTGCTGCATTCACTGCGGCTACATCTGCCACGTTGAAAGTACCAATTGGTCCAGCCAATGTGTTGTTGTTACTGTTGCCCAGTTGCGAAACGGATGCAATTGCGCCACCCACAGGTTTGCCACGCCCAAAGGGCGCAACAACTACACCGCCACTGTTGCGTCCACCGATGGCACCAACGCCGCCAAGTGTATCCAGCTTTTTGGGCGATTGTGCCGCAGTTGGCGCTACCTTCATCCCAAAGCTCTGAGAAGATTTGCCCTGTACTGCTGCGGAGCCCTTTTGATTGGTAAACGTGGCTGACGACTTGACCGTGCTTGAGTTTTCCGGTTTAGTTTTCGATGCTAGAGTGGAGACCACACCGTTCGCAGAAGAGGATGAGGAAGTGCCGCCACGTGCCGACTGCTGCTGCGAGCTACTATATGCTCGACTGCTCTGACCACGCGACGAACTTGAAGCTTTTCCGCCGGCAGCATTCGACTTGGAGGCACCACCCCGTCCGCTTTGTGCTTTGGCGCCGCTAGCGGATGCCTGTTGTTTGGCATTGTGGACTTGCGCATTACTATATGCCACGGCCGGCGTTGAGCTGGCCGAGGAGCTCGACGATGTGGATGTCGTAGATGCAGCCGAGGAGTAATTACCCACAGCCGTTGTGCCCGATACACCCAGGGCAGCCGTACGATTATCCCAGGTGCCGACAGTCATTTGCGCAGAGCTACTACCGGCTCCACCGGAGGCTGCACTTGTGGCGCCCGCTTTAATGCTACTGTTGATGCGTGGCAACATTTGCAATATGTCCACATCGGGATCCTTGATAAGCGATAGAATGAGCATGTGAGCCTGCTTTGTGGCATCGGTAAGACCCTTAATGGTAATGCTGCGCTCCGATTGATTCTTGCCCTGTTTTTCCACCTCAATGTGGGCGCCAGTGGTGGCACGAATAGCATTGATGTTGCTGCCGGCGCGTCCGATCACACGTGATATGGCATTCACCGGCACCTGCACCTTCTTGCATGTCATTTCTGGTGCGGAGGTGGCCAGCGAGCTTGAACTGGAACTGCTCACCGAATGATGATGTTGCCCAGCACCGCCGCTATTCACACTGGTCGTTGAGTTGTTGGGCGTTACATTTGTGCTGCCAGCGCCGCCAGCGCCAATTGAGGGAATGCCACCAGCCGACGAGCTTACAATTGTCGTCTGCTGGGCGCTACTCTTGCGCACCACTTCCTTCCAGCCGTCCACTTCGCTACGCTTGGCCTGCGCAGGGCCAGCCGTTGAGCTGCTGGATTTTACGACATCCTTGCGCGATGCAATGTTGCTGGCGGAATCGTTGCTAACCGGCTGCAATTTGCTGGCCGAACCAGGAGTTTGTGGCTTTGGCACTGGCATGGACTCCTTGGGTGCCAGATTTTCCTTTTCGCGCTTGTTGCTGGTTGTTTCCTTAGCTGTTTTCTTGCTGCTGTTGGCAGTGGGTGTAGTTGTTGCAGCTGTTGTTGCCGCTAGTGGTTCCTCCTTTTTGGCATCAGCCTGACGCTTCAGTTGCTGACCAACCGATTGTTGACTGCTGCTGGACGGCAGTTTAACGCTCTCAGTGGCTGGCAGTTTTTTGACCACAACGGCACTCTTCCCATTGGGCGTGGACACCACTGGAGCAACAGCTGGTAATGTGCAGACTGCTTCGCTGCCGGGTAGAATCTGCTGCTGCGTTTTAGTTTTCTGCTGCTGTAGCTGTTGTTGCTTTTTAGTCTTTTTGGCCGAGGGATTGCCGCTGCCATTGGCATTGACATTGTCCGGCTGGTTGGTGATAAGGCGCGTCGCTTTTGTATCGCCGCTGGAGCAGGAGCCTTGATCAATGCCTGAATCGCCTTCTTCGCGTGCAGGCGGCGTTTCCTCATCGTCGTCCTCCTTGTCAGTGTCATCGTCCTTGTCATTGTCGCTAGCATCGTCGTCGTCGCCTTGCTGATCATCATCGCCACCGTTGGATCCATTGCTTACCTGTTGCTGGCGTCGCTTCTCCTCTTTCTTTTCCATTTTTTTCTTCTTTTTGCGCTCGCGACGACGAGCTGCGGCCGCTTTTCGACTTTCTTCGCGCGTTCGCTCCAAATCGAGCTCTTCTAGCAATATGGAGGCATTCTTATTGGCCTTGACCGCCTGTGCTTCCTTGGCGGACCGCAAGATTTTCATACAGTCGTAGCACTTGTCAGTCAGCTCTTTATCGCTAATAGTTCCAATGAAACGAATCATTTCCTGGTCCGAGGGAAACTGGGACACATACTGTACCATCCATTTCACAATTTTGGTGTGGCCCTTGCGATAAGCGGCCATCAGGCAGGAGACGCGTCGATTATCCTGTGAATCAATGTCTGCATTGTGATTGTACAGCAGTTCCACGACGCTCAAATGACCACCGTGTGCCGCCAGCCAAAGAGGTGAATTACCCTTTTTGTTCTTCACCTCAACGCTTGCGCCGCGCGACAAAAGCAGTTCTACGAACTTTTGGTGACCCTTGTCGGCGGCAATAGTGAGTGCTGTATCCCTCGACGTAGGCACAGGCGCTGCGTTTACATCGGCACCCTTGTCAAGCAGTACACGACCCACTTCAATATAGCCGCCAGATGCGGCCTCCATCAGCGGTGTCAAGCCGGTTTTGGCGCGATGCTCGACATTGGCCCGTCGATCAAGCAGTAAACTTACCACCTCATGACGTCCCTGGAAGCAGGCGAGCGTCAGTGCCGTATTGCGATTTGTCTCAATCTGTGCGTTTATATCAGATCCCTGATCCAGCAGCAGTTTAACCGCGGCCGTATGCCCATTCATGGCAGCCAACATTAATGGCGAAATTCCCAGTTTGCTACCAGTACGAGAATTGATCTCGGCGCCATGGTTGAGCAGCAGTTTGATGATGTTCACATAGCCACCACTGGCGGCCAAACTGAGTGGCGTGTAGTCGGACACATTGCGATGCTCTTTATTGGCACCGACGCCGAGCAGTAGCTCGACCACTTCATAGCGACCGCCAGAGCAGGCCAGCGATAATGGGGTGTCCTTGGTGCGTTCCGATTGCGCCTCTAGCTCAGCATTATGCTTGAGCAGAATCTCTACAACCTTTTCATGTCCCGCTGTGGCTGCCAGTATCAGAGGCGTGAATCCCTTTTTGTCACGATGCTCGATATTTGCACCCCGGCTGATGAGCAGCTCCACCAACTCCTCATGGCCACCAGCGCAGGCTAGCGTCAGTGCCGTATCATGATTTGACTCTGTTTCCGAATCAATCTCTATTGTTTTGTCCACGGCTGCAACCGCCAGCTGATTTTGTAATTGTGCCTGTTGTTGTGCAGCAGCCGCCGCTGCAGCTGCCGCCGCCACCGCCGTTGCTGTTGCCACCGGCTGCTGATGCTGATTGGTATTGACTGTTAGCCAAGATAATATTTTTTATTAACAAGGATATATTTCTAGGGAAATTATATGCGATATATACCTTGACTTCCAGCTGGTGTTTGGCGGAAACCGGAACAGCGTCGATCCTTGCGAGATTGCTTGTCAATTGCTTTCTTGGCAATGCCGCCGGGCATTGATTTAGTGGCGCCAGTTCCCGCTGTTCCTGCTGGTGTGTTGGGAGTGGACATTGGCCAAATGGATAGTTCATTTTGCTGCTGCTGTTGTTGGGTTGTCTGTTGTTGCTGCTGCTGTTGTTGTTGTTGTTGCTGCTGCTGCTGCAGCGCAAACTGTGTGAACTGCTGAGGCACTACAACGGAGCCAGTATGCGTCTGTGTGGACACCTGGAAATACACGTTTATATAAAACTTTAAACTGATTGGGCCTGCTCTAATCCACGATGCTTACCTGATGCTGTACGCATGTGGGCGCCTGCATATGTGGCGGGGGGTGCAGCAAAAGCTGCTCCTGCAAATTAAAGTGCTTCTGCTTTAGACTCTGGGGTATGGGCATCGCCTGAACACCAACAACAGGACCGACGGCGGGTGATTGCCGCTGCTGCAGCAGCAACTCTTGCGCCACCTGCTCCAATTCACTTTGTGTGGATGGTCGCTGCTGTTGCTGCTGAAGCAGTCGCTCAGCGCGTTGCTGAAACATATGCTGCTGCTGTTGTTCACAGTGCAGTAATTGTTGTTGATGGCTCTGTTGATCTGATGTCTGATCGCCCAAAGCCTGCTGCTGATGTTGTTGTTGCTGCTGCTGCTGCTGCGGTTGTTGCGCCATGTTCGGTGGTAACTGGAACAAGAACTGCACTGGCGGCGCATTCTTGTCGCCGCTCTCCACGTTGTATACAAAATTGGCAGCTGGCTGCTGTTGTTGTTGTTGGCCGGTTGCCGCTGCAACGGCTTTAATGATGCGCGCATTCGAGTGTTGCTGCTGCTGCAAATGGTGCAGTTGTTGCAGCTGTTGCTTCAACTCGGGATCCCCTTCCAACGTCATTTGCTGCTGCTGATGCTGCAACTGGAACTCGGCGGTGTTGGGCAGTGCTGAATGAATCTGCTGCTGCTGTTGTTGCTGTGTGGCAACACCAGCGGCGGCATTGTCAGCAGAGAATGGCAATAATGCAACAGGCGTCTGCTGGTGCTACACAGAGTGACAGATACCAAATATTAACTCGATAATACAGCTATTAAATATGCACCCATACCTGCATGTTCTGCAGCTCCTCGGGATCGAGCAAGCGTTGTTGCAGCGACTGTTGCGACTGCATGGGATAATCCAGAAGCACGAGATTCGCTTGACGCTGCTGTGCGTCTGTTGAAGCATCACCTGCACTCAATAACGCCTGCGAGTGCTGTGCAGCTGCTGCTGCCAATAGCTGCTCCTGACCGCTCCATTTGCCGGACGATTGTGACCAATGGCCAGTGAACCTGCCCTTGCACATCTGATTAAGGCTGAACTCGGCGAGTTCTGGATAGTGCAGATTGCTGGCCAGCTCCTATTTAGAGGGAAAAAGTTAAAGAAAATGTAGTTTCTACACTTTCCATAGCCAGTCGTGTGACCAAACTGTGAAGTTAGTTTATGGTTTGTGCAAGTACCTGGAATATGTCCTCCATTTCACCAGTTATGTCATACTGTCCTCCATCGGCTCCATCACTGGCAAAGTGTTCTAGGCCGGCATACAGCTCCCCAGCTGCAGCCGCTGCATCATCTGTTAGCAAATATATTATGAATCAGAACAAATTTATGATCCTATGCGGTAACTTACCGCACTGCTCTGAATCCTGGTGCTGTTGGCTGTGAGCCTTGGCATGCACAGCTGCTGCAGTGGCTGCTGCCAGTTGCTGTTGGAGTAGACTATTTAAAGCTGCATTATTGGCGGCCGCCGCCTTAATGGGCAGCATATGCATCAGTTCAGAATTGGGCAAATCCTGACGGAAATCGCATATTGATTGAGACAACACATCGGGTTTGGTTAGTATTAGATTCTCCAGTCTTGTTGATATTTTACGTTGCTTTGGAGGCAGAGCGGCACCATTTTTTGAGTTGGCGTCGCTCTGATCGCCAACGGCCACATCGACGTCCAGGAAGAACTCGTCGTCTTCGTCGTCGTCGTCGCCGCCATCGTCTTCGTCAATGTAGTCAACATCCGCATCCGCATCATCATCATCATAGGTAAGTTTATCAATTTCACCGCTTTGGGTATCCGGGTCATCTTCATCGTCGTCATCGTCCACTACCTCCTCCTCTATGATAGTGTCGGTCAGCTCAATAGGTTCCGGTGGCAGCGTATTTTCTTCGCCATCGGCCTCGCCCTCGTCACTCTCGATATCGGTAGCAATTTCGTCGATTTCCTTATTTGCCGCTGTCACCTGAGCCGCCATGGCTGCTGCGGAGCAGAGCGTGGCCAGATTCTTCATTTCGGCCCGGGTTTCGACACGTTCCATACTTGGCGACATGATCGTCTCTTCCATTTCTGGCGGCGTTTCAGTTGGGGATTTAGGTTGCTCGCCAAAAAAATTGTGCATCTGCCAACCATCCTTAAAGAACTTCAACTGCGGAGCATTGGCCAGCTTATCATTAAATCGGGCCAGCGAATGGCCACCCCTTGACTCATTGACCGCAGTCTCAAGCAGGCCACGAAAGTCCTCCATGGCAGCCTTGTGCTGCAGCACATCACTGCCAGCTCCTTCCAATGGCGGCTGTTGCTGTTGCTGCTGATCCCCAAAGCTGTTACCAGTGCAGCCTGTTGGGGAAGCCATTGGCGAGGCCGGCGAATTTGAGTAATCCACAACAGAGGCGGCGCACTGCTGATGATGCAATTGCAGATGCTGCTGCAATTGTAGCTGCGTTTGCTGCATTTGCTGCTGTAACTGAAGCTCCTGTTGCTGCTGCAATTGCTTTTAATCGTATGAATTGTTCATTAGTTAAGTTATAAGTTCCTGAGCAACATGTAATTTGTTTGAAAGCGAAAAATAAACTAAATCACATGATAGTCTTACGTCTTTAAAGTGATGAAAGAAAACATATGAATATTGTTTTGCTTGGTTTGATTTCATGATATTACTATAGTAATTTTGTTTTAAGTTTAGTTTGGTAAAAGTTGTCGAGAGAGTGGCTAAAGTATATTAGCAAACAAAAAGCTAGTTTTTACTGCATCTTTAAAACCGATTGAATCCCTGACATATTTGTATAGCTTTGATAAATGCTACTTTAAATTATAATATATTTATATAGCAGATAACCTTACGTGTCACAAGATATGGGACATGTTTTTACTTAAGATTTCTTCCAAATAATGTTTGATATACATATGGCAAATATGCAGAAATAAAATGTCCGTTTTCCGATTGATTTAATTCCATTGCTTTCATTTTTTAATGTTTCATTTTTCTTCAAGAATTCTGATGTATTTTGATGAGAAAATGTTAATGAAAGAATAGAAGCAATTAAAATCCATTTTGCAGCAAATCTTTTCGTTTTTTAACAATCTAATTATGTCCCTTTATTTTCGATAATTTTAAAGCATTGAAAGCCCCTATTATCTCGTAACAGTCATATCTATCTCTCGCAAATTAAAACAATTCTAGTTGCAGAAAGTAATTATTTCTGAACAGATTTAGTTACAAATTATATAAGCTAATGCTTACCAAGTTGTTGTAAATGGAAACCATTTGATTCTGCTGCAGAGGCAACACCTGCCCCTGCTGTCCCGCTGGTGTTGAGGCAGCCGATGTCTGGGCTGCTAATGCAGCCGCCTGCTTACGATTATTCTTGTTGCTTGCCTTCACCTTGGGCCGATCGCAAATTGCCGTGCTCTGCAGCACTTCCGATGAGTGGGTTATTGCGCCAGAGCCACTAGTATTGAGCTGCAAGCAAACCACGCACAATTTAATCAATCATGGTAAAACTATAAATCTATTTGGCAATTACCGCCGGAGTTTGTGAGCTGTTCTCGTTAGCAGTGTATGTACTTTGATTGCTATCATTGGCAGCGGCAACTGAAAGCAACAGATAACGTTGAGAATGGTTTTTACAGCGCCTTTCTTCTTCAAAATACCTTTTGGATTGGTTTCCGAAATTGCGTCGCTGCCATCGGTAGCTTCGCAGGGTGCATCAAAGCCTCGACGCCTCTGCAAACGCGATTCATCTCCAGCACAGGCAAACTGCTGATGCTGTTGCTGCTGATGTAGTTGCTGCTGCTTGTCATCCTCGCCTAGGGGCTGTGAGCGCACTTGATCAGAATGTTGTTCCAGCGGCAAATCAATTGCCTCCAGCGGTAAGCCAATAGTCTTCAGCTCGTTTAAAAGCTGGCGATTCTTGCGAGAACCAACGCCCTTGAGCTTTGGCTGCTGTTGCTGCAGCTGATGCTGTTGTTGTTGCTGTAGAACAGGTTGCTGGCAAACAGTGTGCAAGAGAACAGGTGGCGCTGGTGGTGCCTTTTGTGGCGGCGTTAGCGAGTTAATGTGCTCCATGTCCAGATCAAAGTGCTTGCAGGGCACCAGCTGAGCACCAGTTGGTGGCAGTGTCGTTTGTTGCTGTTGCTCAAATCCGGGCTGCAAATGAAATAGGCGCGATTTGGCAATAAGGCCCTCCTGCTGTTGTGCGCTCAGCGTGGTGAGGTCAATACCACCGCCACCGGCACCACCCACAGCAGAGACATACTCCTCTGTGGCTGCCGCATCAGTGACGCTCGAGGCAGTAGCCGCCGTTAGCTGAAGCTCACCAGCATCTAGAAAATCACCAGTGCCTAGGGCCACAATGTTGCTGGGGGAATTGCCGCTGAATTGCTGCTGATATAACAGTTGCTGATTGTTGGCGCGTGCTGCCTCAGACACCTCGTGCAGGCCGGGAGGGGCAGTCAACTGCTGCATCTGCAGCTGATGCTGTATCTGCTGTTGCAATATCTTTTGCTGACGTATTTGATTAACTGTCTGGGCACTTGTGCCCGCAGTTAGCTCTGTGGGTGAGATGTGCGGATAGCGAAAGAGCAGCTCTACAACACGTGTGTGGCCACCCTTGGAGGCCTCGATCAGCATTGTGCTGTTGTCCTTGAGCTTGTGAAAGGGATCCGCATTGTTTTTGAGCAACAGCTCAACTACAGACTGATGTCCACCGGCGCAAGCCAGTGAGAGAGGAGTGTGATCATTGCTCGTCGTCTGCTTGTTCACATTGGCGCCCTTTTGTATGAGGAACTTGACAGTGCACAGGTGACCGGCACGACAGGCTTTCATCAGTGGTGTACGCCCACCTTCCGATTCGTGCTCCAGTTCGGCGCCATACGACAAGAGCACACCGGCAGCATCTGTATGCCCATTCTCGCAGGCATGCGTTAGTGCTGTGTCCCCAGTTTGCGTCTCAGCGTGCACATTAGCCTTGTTCTGCAACAGGAAACGCACCAGATCGGTGTGACCTTCCTGTGAGGCTTCCATGAGGGGCGTGGAAGCGCCCAGCTCTAAATTGGCACCTCCGTTAATGAGAAAAGCGGCCACTTCGCTAAAGCCACCACAACAGGCAAGTGTGAGTGCAGTTTCCTGGGTTTCCTCAGTGGTGGCATTAATGTTAGCTCCCTTGCTGAGCAGCAGTGCCACCATTTCCTCGTGGCCTTCACGCGCTGCTTCCATGAGGGGCGTGTACCCTTCATCGTTGACCTCCTCAATGTTGGCGCCGCGCTCGATTAACAGCGTTGCGAGCTCCACATGGCCACCACAGGCAGCAAGTGTAAGCGGTGACTCAAATGAATCAGTTGGCATATTAACCTGCGCTCCAGAGTCCAATAATAAGCGTGCCACCTCCACGTGTCCGTCCATTGAAGCCTCCATTAGGGCCGTGTGCATTTCATCAGTTTTATGCTCCTGATCAGCGCCCGCTTGTAGGAGAAAACGCACCATATCCAAATGACCCTTATAGCAGGCTAATGTTAGTGCGCTCTCCTTAAACTCATTCGAGTGGGTGTTGATGCCGGCGCCATGTTCAAGCAGCACCTGCAATGGTTCATTCAGCATTAATTTGACATTTCAAAACGAAGATGAATATTGATTAAAACAATAGAAGAAATCATCTCGTATGCATCAGATAAGATCAAACTAAATCATGGAATATACGATTCCAAGTTTCGAAATCAGTAACTCGATTATCGAAATTGGCCGCAAATTAATCAAATCTCGGATTCTAATCAGTTGCTAGCTTTAAATATTTATTATACGGGTGAAGAAATGCAAAAAATGAAAAACACATTTAACAAAAATATTTACCTTGGCTACTTCCACGTGGCCAGCGGAGGCAGCCTCCATTAGCGGTGTATGTCCGTTCTCGTTCTGCTCCTCAACGTTAGCTCCATGCTTTAGCAGCACTTTCACAACATCCACCTGACCCCCAGCGCAGGCAAACATTAGAGGTGTATTTCCAGTTGTACAATGCGCATTTACATCGGCGTTGTGGCTAAGCAGCAGTTTTACAATGTCCAAGTGTCCGGCTGAAGCAGCTTCCATTAGTGGTGTCGAGTCTTTTTGTCCTTTGTCCTCGACTTGAGCTGCTGACATAGCCAGCAAAACCTATTTCAAAGAACAATTATCAATTGTTTCGATCAATTTACAATGCTTAGTAATTGAACAATTCGGCAACTACTAACTGACTTCGCTACTTTTCTGCTAATTTATCAGAGTGAATCTGTTAAAAATCATGCAACTTTGCTCCTGCTGCTTCTAGCACTTTATCGAAATATCGATAGATTGATAATTTAGAATGGCAAATCTGTGCAACATGAAGTTGCCACTCACACAATATAATTGATATTGCCACACAGAACTATGTCGAGCCGAATCAATATGCCAATCAATGGAAACGGTTAATAATCGATTGTAAAATTCTTTTAATACTTTAAATAATTAAATCATTTTCTAAAAATCATACAATCTTGTTCTATTTACGTTATAGCTTTTTTTTATGATATCAACAAGGCATAAGTATTTCTTAGGTATTTTATAATAAATCTCTTGCCCTGCATGCACTCCCCCATTGTTTTTATGTAACCACCTTTTGGATAATACATACCTGTGCCAGCTCATAGTAGCCCGCGGAACAAGCCATCGACAATAACGACTCGCCCTCGTCCGTGGAGGCTGCTGCTTCGTTTAAATTGCCTTTGCAAAGTAAACGCTTCACCGTATTGACATCATTGTCCGCGCAGGCGTTGGCAAGGCTGCGCGAGAAACCACTACTGTAAATTGCAGTTTAATGTTATAAATTTGAAAAATGCAGACGTACATCCATATCGGATGGCTACTCATCTACGGTCTACTTACTTTTTGTCGCGCGGACTGTTCGCACAACGCATTTTGGTTAGCGCCTGCTTCGTCTCATCGATCGCGTGGGTGGCGTGGCGGAGTACGGGTGCCTTTTCGTTTGCGGCTGCCTCCAGTAGGGCCGTGAGATTACTTGAACGCTTGTTGTTGGGCTCAAGCATAAAGTTCTTAACCTCTGGCGCATCTTCATCATCATCCTCATCGTCGATGTCCTCATCATCAGCATCGTTATCTTGCAGTACGTCTGTCGATGACGGGGTTTTGAACAGTGTTATTAAATTTATGTTGGAGTGAACATTTTCATTTGCTTACCAATCTCTTCATCTTCTTCCTCGTCATCACCCTCAGATTCATCGGAATCTTCGGATTCCTCTTCCGTCTCGTCATCATCGTCACGCACTTCGCCTTCCTCATGCGGACAGCTATCGCGATCAGACTCGGGTATATCATCCTGAAAACATAAAAATTATCATTCGTATTAGCTCTACGAATCGCGCAATATATTGTGGAAATTGTTCGAATTGTGTTAAATATATGTATTTTTGTGCTCGAGTTAAAAGATGGCTGAAGAAGGTTGCTGGAAATTGTAGTATTAAAGCTTGAACTAATCAGTGGAGCACTTAAAGAGCACATTCTTGTTGTCTAAGGCCAGCAATATGATGCTTTGTGTGTTGTTACAGAATCCAAGTGGTAGTAATGGTAGTAGTATTTTTGTTATAATTATTATTATTATTTTTATTATTGTAAACAGTAACCCATTTTGCTATTGGGTTTAGTAGTTTTTTAGGTAGCCTTAATCAAAGTGCATACAACAAAAACATGTAAATCGTTTTGACCAAACTTTCAAACAATTTTCGTTTAACCTATGAAGCACTTGGTTAAGATTTGTTGTTGCTTTAGTTTGGGTTAAGTAGAGCTAATTGAAAATTTAGACAATCGGTCAAAATAAATTGATAACTAGGTAACTCTTCGATTATAGTTTTTTATAGGCACTTTTAACGCGCAACTTACCAGGAGATCTGGCCTTAAACACAAGAATGCCAATAGGATCTACAAATAAAGAGAAACGTAAGAAACATACATAAATAATAAAAATAACTAAAGCGAAATATGCATGTATGTTAACTAAAACCAGTTCAATACGATATTGACGCGGTTCGATCTTTGCTTGGCTTGAAAATCAAGGAAACACATGTTGATATTACTTGAACAAAGGACTGCAACACAAAGTCCATGGTGGATAACGCACGCCGTACCAAATCTTTAACTGAAGCACGCATTATACTGTCAAAAAGTGACGATTGAACCATTCTTGGGTGGTATGAGTAGTTGTCAGATATCAAATGCAATTAGAACAAGAATTTTTTGAGTTTTTTTAATTGTCAAAGATCATGAAATATGATTACATTTACACGGCGTACTATTAGTTTACATTTAAATTTAGTGTAACACACACGCAAGTGCCTGAGTTGTATTTAATACAGTTAACATATTTTTTACACAGATAATACTCTAAATATGCGGCAAATCTTTTAACATACAGCGTTGCCAGATCACGACAAAGCTCGTAGCACAAAAAAAAGAAGAAACATCAGCAAGACCATCAAATTATTGTTGCCCGTGTGCTTTTTGCTTTCATTCATTACCATTTCCATTTTATTCCGTTTCGGCGCAAATACACATGCAATACTTTGCACCTATATTGGTTCGTGCGTGCGGTGCTCGCTGGTTTTTTATTACAAATTTGCAAGTCAAAGGGGAAAAGGGAAAACGGTTTCTTTGGAATTTTAAGAATAACATGAGTCATTCCATTCAGTTGCACTGTGATAGCGGTTTAGAAACATGTACGTATGCATATGTAAGTAATGTTCATTGATTTATATATGTAAAATCATATAGTCGCTCAAGTTTGAATATACATATATATGTGTTGCGCCCACGCCAAAATATTAAGGGAAATTATGATTCAATTAGCATCGAACACAATCATACATATTCGTACATATATATGCATGCACATATAATTGCCAGTAACCTTTAGTGAATGAAGGAACGGGGCATACGCATGTTTACATACAAATGCATGTATATAAGTATTTAATGTAGAAAATGTTAAGAACAAAACTCAAACGAGTTCAATCGCTGTCGCCGCCACGACATGCGTTTTCGGTTGCTCATGCGTTTGTCTCTCTGCTTTTTCTCTCATTTCGGGCGTTGGAGTGCGTAAGTGTGTTTGTTAGTGTGTACATGTACATGGACATGTATACTGTGTGCATTTTGTTTTATTTTTATTGAAAATATATTTGGCACGTTATACTCAAACTTTTCATATTAGCCTTTTAAAAAAAATGTTATCAAGTATATAATATCAACCGGTCATTACACTTTACGTTCATTTTCAACGTTGTTTTTGTATTATTTTTTTTTGTATCTCTTATTTTGCTTTGTAGTTTTGCACAATTGCTCCTCATACACGATTTCATTTGTCAAAAACAACAACATGAACAGTAAAGGAGCTTGGCGTTGCCAGACTACCTAACCGCTAGAGTAAATTTAACCTGCAAACAACGCAGCATTCAAAGTGCCACTAATCCAACAACGTTGGGCATGAATACGTAACTCATTAATGAACCGTGAGAAAGTGAGACAGATAATATGCACTCGGTAGGGGGGTCAGTAACATTGTTAATTGAATGGATGTTCGAAGTTGAGAATTATCTTAAGCGTCCAAAATGAAACGAAAGAATCTCCTAATGACCTTTCGGACTAAGTAGACAATATTTATGTATGTTGATATATGTATGTATAACAATATGTGCTACATATATCCTCGAAAGGCCAGACAAAGAAATATATATATATATTTATATAAATACTAACAAACAGCAGCAGCTGCACAGCTGATTTTCTTATGCATGTATATTTTACGCGAACGAATGTAATTCACAATGCCCCACAGAGAAGAAGAAAAAAAACCAAACACCGAGTCATACAGAAATGCTACTGGAAACGGGTTTTTCAGCTTGCTCAAATGAAAGAGAGGTCGATTTATTGATTTCAGACGAAAACTTTAGAACAACTTGTATATATCATATGGGTTAAGTATAAGGAAACTTGAGTTTATTAATTCTAACGAAATTTTTGCATTATATAAGTATACAAAATATGTCAATCCGCGACTGTTCAGACAGCTGTGTTAACTGATGACGGCAACGAGTAGCGTTTGGAGAAATGCAGGAGAAAAAATTATAGTAGAGAATGGACATGAACGCTACTCCGATCTATTTAAAATGATTTTTAATTTATTTATTATGCAGCGAAAAATATACAAGGAAGAGACGGAAACCTTTAATAGTTCAATTTACATAGTCCAATTCTAGAAGATTTTTAACCAGATGCGAATGAAGTAATGAAATGGACATGGACAACGAGGTTAATCCGAAAAAAGAATGAAAGGACCAAACTGAACCAAAATATAAAAGATTGCCAATTTCCATTTTCACTAATATACATAAAATATGTAAAATAAATTGGCAAAGTATAAATTAAATTGTTGTTTTGTGCCCAGGAGAGTATAAGAAAACTGCAAGCAATTTTAAACTCTTATCACAAGTTGATTCGATGAAGCGGTATACCTCTGACGTGTTCTTAAGAAATTCGAAATCCGGTTGTTTTTATAATGTGATTGGGGGATAAGGAAGACTTTTGCAGATTTTACCAGTTTGCAAACTATGTATGACATGTAGCAAAAAACATTGAAGAGAGACAAATTGAACATTTCAAAGTGTCAATGATTAAAACATGCTAGCGTAGGAAAAACCACCTGTTACGTCTCTCAATTTAAGTTCACAGTATGAGAAATAGATAGGTAGCTGGTATATGTAAAACGGTCCTAAATACTCAAAGAGAGAGTCTGAGAGTCAACACACATAGGCGCACACATCTAGCGTATAGCTCAAATACGCAAAAAAAAAATATCTAAGACAATTTAATATGTTTGAAATATTTTACTCACCTCGGAGACAGACTCCTCCTCAGATTCAGATAGATCTGTGGTGACGGGCTGCGGATAGAACTCAGTATCCGTATCTGTATCCGTTGTTATGATATTCTGCAATGCTGATGAAATGGCATTCACAATGCCCACCGACGATGACAGTGGCGAGGAGTTGGATGATGTTGATGATGAGGCGGCGGCTGAACGATTCGCAGCGGCTGCTGCGGCGGCAGCCGCGTTTGAAATTGCACCCACATCCTTCAGCTTTTGCTTAAGCACAGCGACAGCTGTTGCCGCCGAGCTGCTCGTTTGCGGCGGCAGACCGAGGCCAACAGCAGCGCCAGCGTTGCTATCGGCAGCAGCGGCAGCGGCGCCCATTAGCAGAGTTGTTGCTGCGAATTTTAAATGCGCAGAGTCTGTGCTGCTAGCGGGGGCGGCACCTGATCCTGTTGCTCCAGTAGAGGGCGTGGCATTTTGCTGCTGCTGCTGTTGCATGGCTACCTGCCGCTTGAGGGCTGCGTAAGCAGCTCGCGTTTTTTTCGAGCTGCTTGGCGTGGGTGCGGGCGCGGGCGCAGAGGCGATAGCCGCTCGAAATTTGGCGGCTGCAGCGGCCGCAATGGGTGCGTTCATGGTTGCCGTTTCACTTATTGTTGTGGTTGTTGTTGTTGTGGCGGGCATGGGCGTGGCTGTGGGCGTGGTTGTAGTGCCAGCTGTAACGAATGCGGCCGCAGCCGCATCGCATTGCGCGTTTGTTTTGCTGGCAACCGTTTTAGACATTTTGTTGTTGTTGTTATTGTAACTGGTAGTACTGTTAGTATTGGCAGTGGCTAACGCGCTGTTGTTGTTGTTGCTGCTGCTGCTGTTAACTTTTAAACTGACACTTGCGTTGCTGCTGGTGCTTTTCTGCTTCAATTGACTCAGCTCAACTGCAGTTGCTGCTGTATTGGTTGTCAGATCCTTGGCAACAACAGTCGGCTCATGCTTGACAGCCTTCTTCTTACTGCTGTTGTTATTGGTGTTCTTGATGTTGTTCGCAATGAGCGCAGCCGCTATCGAGTGTCGGGCGGCTGCAATCCGCGGACCGGTGTAATTCACCTGTCTGACGTTGTTGTTCTTTGATGCTGCAATTCTTTGTGCAGATGCGCCGTTAGCTTTAATTTGTGTTGTTATAGTTGTTGTTGTTGCTGCTGATGCTGCTGCTGTTGTTGTTGGTTTTGCAGCTGTTGTTGTCTTTGTTTTGTTTTTGTTTAAATACGCAGAGCGCACGTTATTTAAATTCAAGTTTAAGTCATCGCAATCATGATTTTTCGCATCATTATTCATTTTAGTCTCGATTGGGCTTCCTTTAAAATCAATTCACGCGTGCTTGCCGTGTACAAATACGAATTTTTTAACAAAATATTAAATAATAAATTACTTCAAAGAATTTGACATTTTGGGTTTTTTTTTATTTTTTTTTTTTTGCTTTTTGCCATTGACAAAAACGCCAAACACAATTTCATGTATTTTTTCGTTTTCTTATACAAAGCGTGCTGCGTTTTTATTGATTTTGTTAAGGAATTGAGCTAGATTATATATGTGCATATATAAAGATACACGCACACACAAAAACACACATGCACATGCACAGACAGATCGCGACCGTATGGCAACGCTGCGCATTCTTTCACTTCTTCAGCATTGCACACTCATTCGTTCGCCGTTGTACATATGTATGTACATACACACATATATACACTCGTTTTAATTTTCCGTTTGCCTAATTCACGTTTTCGTAGTAACTTGTTAAAAAAAAGGGGGGGAAAACACAGAAAAACATGGCTACACATCTATTTAATAAATAAATAATTTAATTTTAGTCCTTTTGCCTGGCTAATCGATGCGCAATTGGTAATTTTGAAGCTGGCACAGCGTGCTTTTACGCTTTATATAATCTCGTCGAGTACACCAAATAAACGTTAGATTCTTGCTGCATATAAGACGAATTATAATATATATATATATTAAATTGCAGTACTTTATTTATAAAACTTTTTCGAGCATTTTCGACTTCGCCCCAAACGAGCGCAGGCAAAAAATCACTTTACACATTTTACAGCGAACGAAACCGAGCGAACGTCGCGTCAAAGCGAGATAACAATTGCCAACCAGCTTGTCAGTCGTACAACATAGTGTATGCACAAGCGAGAGGACGCTACTAAGTCGAGCGAAACCACAATCACACGCACGCCAAAGTCGAATAGCAGGCGGACGACGACGAAGGCAAATTAAGCAACTAAGGGAAAATTTTTCTTCGCTTCTATTCCGATGCAATTTTTCACCAATTTAACGCTGCGTTAAGGTTTAAAAACATGCACAGCGTATGGGGCACATGTTATGCAATACTTTTACAATAGTTTCGCGTATTACCGTTGCAAATTTTTGGCAAATAAATAAATTTTTCAGCAGCTTTAAAATTTACTGTCTGTCATTCAGAGTTTCGGATCGCCATATTATTCCCGGATATTGAATTGAACTAGAACGCAACGGAATAGGTGAACCAGTCGGTTCCAATCATTCACGACGTAAATATTGTTACGATACGTAAGGTTTTGGGAAACAATTTACGCAGCAATTTTCAGGAAAAATAATAATACCATACAAATGTACTTTCCACTTATATATAATTTATATCGCATTAATTAACATACAATTTTTTGCATTCTGATATGGCAACTCGCCATGTTACAATTGGAATAATATAATATTGTATATAATATTTGATTGCGAAATTTTATAGTTATAAATTCAATATATACGGTTAATTTTCTCAAAAGAACAGTAGTAACATAATAGATACAAACATAAATTTGGATAGCATTATTTAAGTCATAATTAGAAAGCAAGCAAGAGTAATTTATGAACAGAATCTTAATATTTTATATACAAAACATTTTATTTTATTTTTTATTAGGTATCATAAAGTTAGTTGCCACAATTCTTATCACATAGTTAACAATATGTGTGCAGTATTTTATGTCAACAGCATACTGTCCTTAATTACCTGGTAAATACCACAAATATGTCACAAATGCATCAAAGTTATCGAAGAACAAGTGAACTAATGTGAATGAGCTTAAAACCATAAGATTGTTATTGGCTGTTTGACTTTGCTATGGCTTAACAATTAAATAATAATTTTAAGAAATGCATTAAGGAACCATTTTTTAAAACATAATTTATTATAATCGTTACATCGATTGTAAATTGCTCGTGCCGGCGATAGTTGTACATCTCTAATACGTTCATACATATTTTTCCATACGCAAACTACGTGTCCACTTGCTTCTATTTTGTAAACTTTAAAAATGCATACTGTTTTAACCAGAGGAAATGCCACTGTTGCCTATTCCTTAAGCGTATTGGCATGCCTTACTTTCTGCTGCTTTATATCTACAGTGTTTCTGGATTATAGAACCGATGCTAAAATAAATACCGTACGGGTATTAGTGAAAAATGTTCCCGATTACGGTGCATCAAGAGAGAAGCACGACCTCGGATTCGTGACATTTGATTTGGAGACAAATCTAACGAACATTTTTAACTGGAATGTCAAACAATTGTTTCTATATCTAACGGCAGAATATAGAACTACATCGAATCAGCTGAATCAGGTTGTGCTCTGGGACAAAATTATTTTGCGTGGCGATAATGCAGTTTTGGATTTTAAAAATATGAACACCAAATATTACTTCTGGGATGATGGCAACGGTCTGAAGGATAACAAAAATATAACGCTATCTTTGTCATGGAACATTATACCTAATGCCGGCCTGCTGCCATCGGTGCAATCAACCGGAAAACATGTATTCAACTTTCCCGCAGAGTACGCCACATCCATTTAGAATCTTAAATTTTTGATTAGAAACATTCAATACAGTTGTATTTTAATGCACTAAAATAAAATCCTTTATATTAAATACACATATGTATCGATTGTGGGCCTAAATGATTATAAAATGTTGCTAGAGAGAGAAACTTGACAATTTACAAACAAGTCTGGGGTACATTGATACTGATACTGAACGTGAATCTATATATATATATATATATATATAAATGTATACTACTAGAACACATTAAAATTTTACATAAACTCATAGCCGCCATCATCAAAATTGCGATTGCCCACCATGGGACCGCCGGCGCCCATCTGATTCGGCTGTCCGCCCATTTGCGGACGAAACTGATTGCCAGGCGTTTGATGCTGTAGCAGCTGCCGCAGACCGGGATTGTTGTTTCCCAGCATTGGACGCACCATGCGCTGCTGTTGCTGCTGCGGCACCTGTTGCTGTTGCTGCTGCAGCTGCTGTTGCAGATTGGGATTCGCAACGGGCACGCCCAGTGGCATGCGCTGCTGCTGTTGTTGCTGCTGCTGCTGCATCATATTCATTTGCATTTGCGGCTGCATCGGTATGCCGCCGGATCCATTGCCGCCGGGAGCGCCGCCCATTTGCATGTTGAGCTGCGCATATTGATTATAATGCGGCTGCTGTTGCTGCGAATTATCCTGCTGCATTTGTTGCTGCTGTTGTTGAATTTCCATTGGCGACTTGCCCTGTTGCTGCTGCTGCAATATTTGCTGCATTTGTTGCTGTGGCGGCATTTGCTGCTGCTGCTGTTGCATGTTGCCGTGCGACTGCTTCTGTTGTATCACCTTGCGCAAACGTTCCACAAACATGGACTGATTGTTGGGTATGAAACCAAGAAAGGCATTGCGATCGGCCGTATATAAAAGGATGAGTACCTTAATATCGCAGGCAGGTGCATTATGCAGCGCCGAGAAGTGCACGCATCCTGCAAAGCCAGATGTCATCATTTTAGCCAGCGAATCGAGCGCTTCGCCCGGCGTTGGACGAAACACGACCATTTTGGAATCTTTGAGAAACTGGCCGCCAATGTTGCCCACCAGATGTTTAGGCATTAGCTGCATCAATAGCTTGGGCGGCCAATTGTCAGCCTTGATTTCGGGCTCGCCATCCTTGATATTGGTGCAGACCGTGCACTGCAGTGAATGAGGTATTTTTTGCTGATCGTTTTTAATCTTCTCCGACCATTCGAGCACCCCGGTCCAGATCTTTTCCCGCAGCGATGATTGCTCCTGTGGCTGTTGCTGCTGCTGCTGTTGTTGCTGCTGTTGTTGTTGTTGCTGCTGTTGTTGTTGCTGCTGTTGTTGTTGCTGCTGCTGCTGTAGTTGTTGTTGCTGTGCCTGCTGCTGCTGCTGTGGTGGAGCCTGTTGCTGCAGCGCGGGCACATTAGCAGCACTGGAGACATTAGGCAACATATTGGCATTGGCATTGGCATTCACCTGTTGCTGTGGATGCTGCTGCTGCTGTTGTTGTTGTTGTGCAAGCTGCTGCTGCAGCTGATTGAAATGCTGCTGATTTAACATTTGCAATCTTTGTTGCTGCTGCTGCTGCTGCAATTGTTGCTGTAGCGTGTTTACCGTTTGATTGGGAGGCGCATTTATCCGTGAAATCAGCGCTGAATTGGGATTCTGGTTTTGTTGCAGCGGCATATTGTTGCCAGCTGTTTGCATGAAGGCCGGACGCTGGCCGGGCTGATTTGGATACATCCAGCGATTCTGGCCGGGCACAACATTTTGCTGAAAGTTTGCATTCTGCATTTGATTGGGCACAAATTGTTGTTGTTGTTGTTGCTGCTGCTGTTGTTGTTGCTGTTGCAGCAGTTGCTGTTGTTGTTGTGCATTCATGAGGCCTGTTTGCGTACCAGCGCCAGACTGCTGTGCCTGTTGTTGCTGTTGTATAGAGTTCATGTTCATGACCTGCTGCTGCTGTGGTGCACCACCTGGCTGCTGCTGCACTGGCGTCGTGTCCATGGGCATGTTTTGAACCTGAGACGACTGCTGGCTATTTTGATTATTGTTCATTGCCTGCACGGATGCTACTTGTTGTTGAGGTGCCCCCATTTGATGCTGTGCAGCCGTTGTGCCCGCCACGGCCATGCTGTTGGGACTGGGCGCACGCTCCTTCAGGCTGTAGCCCTTAAGAAGCACCAAATGGCGAATGTTCTTGGCATAGTTTTTGGTCGTTATTGGCTGATCGCCGTCGGCCTTCATGAAGAGCTTGAAAAGCACCGGCATTTTGCGTGGCGCAATTATGGATAAATTAATTTTGCGTTCATTGAATAGTGCCGCCAGCTGCTCGCAGGATTTGCCCTTGTATTTCCAGGATTCGTTTACGGACATCTGATACGGCGGACTGTTGCATATCAGTATGCAATGGCGCTGCAGATTCGCCTGTTCCAGTATGTGGCGCTGCTCGTTGATCTCATCGAAGCATCCATGGGCAGCAGCAAAACCCTCGGCCATGTGTGCATGCGACTCCATGCCACCACCGACCAAGGGCAGGCGCTCAATTGTCTCGATTACTTTTTGTGGCTGAACAAAGGGGCCATAAGTGGTGCAAACGGGCTCCAGAAGATTCGAGGCGGTGCGGTATGTGACAATGCCATAGAGCGTTGCATATCGTTCGGCAATTAGGAATTCGCGTTCATCAATGGAGCCTTGTGTAAAGTGCTCCAGGGTGGGAAGAACGTAGTTTGTTTTCAGCTCGTTCAGGTAGGCTCCATTGATAGCACTGTTTTCTATAACGAACACCACATCGGCCAACGTCAGCTGATCTACTTCCATTTTGCTTTCGCGACCAAAAAGCGGCTATTTGGGTGAAATTAAAAAACGTTTACTTTGGATTTAGCTTTCCTCTTAGCCCATATCGACACTTTTTGTTCATCTATCGATAGGTTTTCCATACTTGGTACGTGCGTTAAGTTAGTGATGTGCGCCAAATTAGGGACGGGAGCCTTGCGTTGATTTTTGGAACATGTATTAAATGTACTTATTTATTCTTTTAAGCACAACACCAAGTTAATTTTAATGGCGAATTGTAAATTATTAACTGTCTACATTCATTTTGAATTTCAGCTTATGATATGGGCACCCAAGGGGTTGAAATATTAGTTTTTCACCATTCATTAAATAACGTCATTCAGGGATAATGACTCCTAATACCGCATACTCACGAGAAAAACCCATAGTTTTACATAGCCAATCTTAAAAAGTAGGTCCCAATCGTCGGTAGCTTTTTTAAGATATTGGGAAAAGAGTGCAACAGCCTCGTTGCCAGCCCCATATAAAATGACCGGAAAATATCAACCTTGTTCTTGAGCTCTAATATTTATCTCAGGGACAATGGCACTCAATGCACGCTATAGAATTTTGTACACACATGTTTTTAGAAGGTATAGGCATAATTTTAAGCAAATGGTAGGTACTGTTTTTGGAAAATTATTTAATTGTAAACCGACCTCAAATCGTTTATTCATAAGGTCTATCGAACTGCTAGTTCCTACTCGAACTGAACCACTGTTTGGATTCAGTGTTTAACAATTTAATACAGTATTGGGCGGGAACAAATCAATTGGAATTATATGTATTATGAAATCAAATTATATGAGAAGTAGCCAGTCAAAGTAAGCCGTGTAAAGTAAAATAAA